AGAGCCGATCGGCCGATCGAGGTACGAAGTACGAGAATTTAGTCGTAAAGAAATTTATTCAAATCGGAACACAGTTTCTCATGTTCACCTCGAAAGTCCATCCCGCGCACCACTAGCAGCTCGCGCGATGAGATCTTTCTTTCGTTATAGTCTCTTCTACTTAAGAATAATATTAGTCATATTTGTATCTTCTCGTTCACTTATTTATAGTTTCGTCGTCGTCGTTGCATGACGATCCTCTCCGCGGTCACCACGATCTAGTGACTAGTGTGTCACAAAATAATACTCGGAATCGTTTTCCCCTCGAAGCTGTTCGTCATCTGAAATCATTGTCTCAACCGATAGCATTCGTCAGACGTCGTCTACACATATATGTATTTGAATTTTACCTCATCCGGCAAGAATTTCCGAGAAAATCTCACATGTGTCCCCCCTGCCTTCCCCCTCCAATACTGTTGTCAGATGATTCTCCCCAGAGCAGAATCGGTCTGGTGGATGACGATGTACAGCAGGAGTTAGCGTTTTGCGAGAATTCTTCAATTACTTCGAAACCGTTCATATTCCAACCGTAGGTTCCCTCCCGTCGAAATGTCGAGAATCGGAGGTTCCGCTTCCGACCGGCGACGAAAACGCGGAGCCCTACCAACCGCGACCTCCGCGAAGGGCTCGGCATGGAGTCTCCCAGGTGAAAATGAAACTAATTACAGAAGATTGAACAAAACAAAAAACGAACGGAGTGCATCGAAAAACCTTGGATCGACTTCTTCCCTAAATACTTTCGCTTTCCGAAATTCTTATATTCCTCACAATCTCGTACCCCCCACGGCATCGTCTGACTATGCCCCTCTCGGAGTCCAGGGTGGAAGAGAATAAATACAGAGGTACCTGTCTAGTGTACCAGCAGTTCATCCAGTACAAGACTTCACGGATGGAAGTCCTCACGCTGGAAGCCCCCGTTCGAGGCAAAGCGCAGAAACCGAATCCTGGTATTTGCTATCTCCGGCGTAGTAAATATAGGAAGGACATCGGGAAATCAAGCGATTTAGCAACCGAGATTTTCTCGGTTCCGATGATCGAGAATCGGGAGTTTGGATGCTCGGCTCTTTCCCGCTGTACACCCTATTCGAATCTCGAATATGACGACATGGAGTGCTAATTACTACGATCCGATGTCAACTGTTTCCTTATTCTGAGATTCCGTCTGCGCGCTGCGCACTGCGCAATGGCGCGCTCTGGAAGCTTCTTTCTCTCAAGAGCTGCTGAATGGCTCGAGTGCTTATGTGTTCGCCATCATGTCACTCCGAATCCAAACCGTATTCGCTCTGCTGCAGCAAGAAATGGCGGCACTAGGTGCGGACATCAATTGCGTCAATGGAGCGAGACCGCTTGAAAAGAAAATTGTCAAGGATGTAATTAATGCTCTCAAAGAATTGGATGACCAAGATTACGTGGAGATCGAAGGGTCAGACGAGTTGTACGAATCGGACTATCAAGATGAAGACTACCTGCCGCTGGTCGACGATTTGGAGAGCGAGGTCGGTCGGGAGCGGGAGTCTTTCTCTTACGAGTACATCTGCGAAGTTCTCGACTTCATCGATGCTCATCCGAATTGGTCTTTCAAAAGCATGGAAAACCGTTTCAAAAGAGTTCTCAACTACTCGTATATCACCAGGTTCAGGGAATATCGAGAACACATGGGAACCTGTCGAGATCGATACTTAAAAATATCGGAGTACTGCAAAAACATGTTCGATAGGTCTCGTGCCAGCGGATGCATTGTTCATGACCGCACAATTAGAATGTGGGCCCTTCACAAGGCCAGGGAACTTGATCTTACTACATTCATGGCATCAGATTCTTGGATTCTTCGATGGAAAAAGGATATAGAGTCTCATCTCGTAAAATCGTCAAATTCGTCACTTATAAGAATGTGCGAGAACGAGAGGAAATCGAAAATGATGTCATCGAGTTGTTACTTGAGCACCATGATCAGGTTCATGGCAAGTACGATCCTGGGGATGTGTATAACACCGATCAATCTGGTTTCCAATACATGGTCCACACCAACCGGACACTTTCTCATACTGGAGAGCGTACCACATTGTGTGTCGTCGACGCTCTTGCACCTCGGACGCATAGTTACACAATCCAGCCCCTCTTGAACATGGATGGCCGATTGGTCGGCGAGCTCGCCGTGAATTTGCAAGAAACGGGTGATGACTTCGGTCCACGCGTGCTCCAAACCATACAAGACTTCCCCAACTTGTACATAACGTGTACGAAATCCGGGAAGTTGACCAAAAATCTAATCCGGGCGTGGACCGAAAATGTGTTCAAGGACGTCATCAGTCGATCACATGACGACAAATGTGTCCTCTACGTTGATTCGTAGGCTGGACACACAGATCAACAACTCTATCAGATAGCAGACAAGTCCGTTATGGTGAAAGTGTTCCCGAAGGGATCGACGAATATCGTCCAGCCGCTCGATCTCTATTGTATCAGAATGTGGAAGGATTTTGCCAAAAGAATTACAGAGCAGTGCATGGATCACCAATTCAAAGTTCATCAGCGGAGGGACGTCCTTCGAATGCACTCACTCATCTATAATCAATTCCAACATCCCGCGTTTCGGCCTCTTTGGCTATGCGCGTGGCGCCTTGGAGGTTTTGAGGTACCACAGATACCCTTTCCGAGTCTAGCCGAAATGTTGTTTTCGGTTAACGCGGCTTGCGCGACATTGAACTGTAAGCTCATGCCTTTCATACGCTGCATATACTGCTCCAAAATTCTCTGTATCAACTGTTTTTACATGATGTATCATGTCTGTAATCTTCAGTGAGCAGTTCTGTGCTCAAGAATAGAGTATTAGGTAGCTGCATAAATTTCGTGCCCTATTTTCCAAGTGGAGATATTTCGGCTTTGTTAGAGAAACCGGAGAGAATTCCCCAATTATACGTTCTCCGCGGAAGAAAGTCCGCAGATGCAGACGATGTCAACAAGAGCCACCACGAATCCAAATCAAATCCGTTGAGCCGTCGTTGGCCAAATTTGAAAACTCGGGGGAACTGATCGGTCTGAAGTGCGCCGAGGAGCAGTCTCGAAACTGACGAGCTTCCGGTTCCAGGAATACCGGAACCCGGTAACCAGTAGAAACGGCCCATTCGCCGACAGGTCATGTGATGTTTTTCTAGTCTCGGACCCAGCTACGAAACCCACCCTATGTGGACCGAATCCGCGTCTATCAAGTCTGAAGGTTCCCGTGTCAGACTGCATCCACTCGCGCCCGCGAATCAGAAGCTGAGCGGGCATCTAGAGTGCAAACCGATAGGCAGCTTCACGTTCAATAAAGACGTACACCGCACGTAGATTTGAATCTGGCAGCTTTCAATTATGTTCCCAACTACAACTACGATCTCCATCCAAAAGTTCTCAATGGAAGGATGGATCAATCGCGTCAGTTCTGCCGTGCTTTAAAGTTCAAAAACGAGACGGCTGGCATGTGCTGTGCCAAAGGTCAAGTCAAACTTCCCGACCTTCGTTCGCAACCCCAGGCACTCCGGGCCCTGGTAGCCGGGGAAACAAGCGAATCGAAGCATTTTCTGAAAAACATGCAAAGTATAATTCGGCTTCCCAAATGACATCTTTCGGCGCTACCGAGACTTTTTATTATGAATTCTTGCCTGCGTTAAAATGCCAAGGCCAGATTCATCATCGCGCTGGATCCCTCCTCCCTTTACCGAATGAAGAACATCAGCGATTGTGGTTGTTGGAGAACAAGTTGGTTCGCGAGACATCGTCCTTCATCGTCGAGGGAAATTGAAGGAAATCTAAGTCAAGGAAACCTCCAACGAATTTCGGGAACTCATCGGTCATACGACGCGCTCCAGTACCCTTGGGAAAGGATGGGTACCACTCCGACATCAAGATGAGAGTCCCGAGAACCGATACAGAAACGAATAAGAAGGTCAGTTCAATGAAACTTTACGCCTCTCGAATCATGATTCGTGACAATTTTGACAATCACATTCTCAGATGTCGACTGTTGTTCCAGCAATTCATTGTCGATATGTACGGGAAAATCGAGAGCGAACGACTGCTCTATATCCGCCTAAATCAAATGGAACTGCGTTCGGGAGAATACATTCTTCTACGCGACGCGGTGAAAACTGATGCCAACGTCGATGCCAACAGTCTTGGAAAGCAGGTAATTTCACCATCCACGTACATCGGGAGCCCGCGTCATATGCGTGAATACTCCATGGATGCTATGACATATGTTCGCGCATAAGGTCGCCCCGATTTATTCATCACATTCACGTGCAATCCTGCCCGGGATGAAATTCAAGAGCTCTTGCTACGAGGTCAAGCGTCATCCGATCGCCACGACATCATTGCTCGCGTCTTCAGACAGAAATTCCGATCAATGATGAATTTCATCAACAAAGATCAAGTTTTCGGAGAAACACGGTGCTGGATGTACTCCATCGAATGGCAGAAGAGAGGACTCCCGCATGCACATATCCTGATCTGGTTGATGAACAAAATCACACCAGACAGAATCGACGATATCATCTCAGCCGAAATCCGAGACATTGACATTGATCCTGGATTATTCGAGGTCGTCACACAAAATATGGTCCACGGGCCTTGCGGAGGCTTTAATCTACGATGTGTTTGTATGAAAGACAAGAGACGCTCGAAAAGGTACTCAAAACGTCTGATCCCGGAATGCTTACACTCAATATCGCCGGAGATCCCTTGAAGACGGCGGCGAGATGTTCCGTCGCACGCGCGGTGATCGAGTCATCGTCATCGATAATAGCTAGATTGTGCCGTATCCACCATTCCTCTCAAAAACCTTCAAAGCGCACATCAAGGTCGAGTACTGCAATTCCGTCAAGTCCATCAGGTACATTTGCAAGTACGTGATCAAGGGGAGCGATATGGCAGTTCCTCGCTATCGAGGTGAGGAACACTTCAGAACCAGTCGATGAAGTGGAACGATATCGCTCTCAACGCTACATCAACAGTAATGAAGCGATTTGGCGTATTCTGTCATTCCCCATCCATGAACGAGAACCTGCAGTTGTGCATTTGGCGGTGCATCTCGAGAACGGTCAGCGTGTGTACTTCACGGCAAGCAAGTACAGGCGAAAGCGGCTGCTCCAGCGGCCTCAACATGGACTCCATTCTTCGATTTATGCAGGAATTCGAATGATGAGTTCCGGAATACTACACGTGGCAAGCAAAAAAGTTCAAGGCTCGCGAAAGAGGGACACCTGTGAACATCGAAGGACATGGAACGAGAATTTCCTCCAATGCTCTGGGTCGGTTGTGTTCATCCCAACAATCAAGAGTGCTTCTATCTAAGGCTGCTCTTAGTCAACGTACGTGGACCGACATCCTTCGAGCACTTCAGGACTCAGGACCTCAGGACTGTCGATGGTGAAGTTTGTGCAACTTACAGATAAGCCTGCCAGAAGTTACATCTTCTTGAAGACGACGCTCATTGGGATACCACATCGTCTGACGCGTCGGATACGTGTCGACCATGTCAAATTCGGAAGGTCTTCGCCAACATATTGACGATCTGCGTCCCATCCGATCCCAAGGGTCTTTGGGAAAAACACAAGGATTCTGTGGCCGAAGATATCCTGAACCGTGTTCGCCGTTCGCGCCAGAACCCTGAGCTAGCTTTCGTTCCTGAGATCTACAAGGGAGCATTGGTTTCGATTGAGGATCCTTGTTTTGCTATCGCCAACAAATCACTGGTTCAGCTGGGTATGGATGCCCCGGATCCAAGTGCGCTGGATACTCAGGATCGCGATTTAGTTCGAGAAAGCGATTTTGATGTGGGAGCTTCGGCTGAATGTGTCGAAACCAATGTTCCACTTCTGCTACCAGAACAACTGACCGCTTACGGAACTATCATGAGTGCAATCGCGAATCGTACCGGTGGACTTTTTTTCCTCGACGCACCTGGCGGCACCGGCAAGACTTCTAGATGGTGGTCGAACGGCCCTCTCCGCACTACAGCTGCCATCGAAGGTGCAAACGATCGAGATGCCTACATGCAATCTTGCCAAAAATTCCGGTATGGGGACCGGTTCAGACACGGAAGCCAGAATCGCAGAAGCCAGAATCGCAGAAGCCAGAATCACAGAAGCCAGAATCGCATAAGCCAGAATTCTCATTTGCCAGGATTCTCATAAGCCGGAATTCTCATAAGCCAGAATTCTCATGAGCCAGAATTCTCATAAGCCGGGATGGACCGTCGCCCTGACGGTGCCTTCCAACGCGCAACGAAGCCTACGCTTTCGATTCTGGAACGATGAACGCGCACGCGCGAGGTGTCGCTTAAGTGATGTTCTGGGATCTCAGAGGAGACGGAACGTCGCACCGAGAGTGGCCGCTGCATCTTTCAGCTGATAACACAGGCTGTGTCGTTCCATGAGCTGTAGTGTTGTGTGAATATTATCTGAGTGATGAGTTTGAGCTCGGTGATGTGTTGAAGAATGATCCAAGAGCAGAATAAAGAGTAGTCAGTAAATCAGGGTTTGTCTATCTCCGAATCTTGGTAGTCTTCCCGGACAGTTCGATTTCGAATCTCAATCACGATAGTCGATTCCCAGTCTCGACGTCTCTTCTCGGAGACAAAGGTCGCTCGGGAGGAACTCGACAACTTCGAGTCGAGCTCGAGGAAGGTTACTTTTGGCCCTGAGTAGCACAGGATAGCTCGCAATCGTCAGAAACCGGGACAGTCGCCGAAATCTTAGGGACAGTATTGCGATGCACACGTGACAAGTTGCTTCCAGAGTGATGTCGTTCGACACCTTGTCAGTGGGGCTTCGCATTGTTGTCATTGGGTTTTGCTTGATAATCGCATCGATCCGTACACTCCAACCTGTGTTCCGATTTCCATCGTAGATCAAAATCTTCGCTTTCTCGAGAGTCGATATGAGTGTCATGGCTGTCAAGGAAGTGCTCTCGGCGAAGGGGAAACCCCAATTCTTCGTGGAAAACTACCTTTATGAAGTTGAGAAGACGGTTGGTGGCAGGACATCTTACTGCAGATGCATCAAGCAAAGGAGGGACGGCTGTCCAGCAAGAATAACTATATTGAGATGGCCAGAACCGATGGTCCAAAGGCAGACTGGCGAGCATACTCATGCACCCGACACCGGCGAATTCATCAGGAGGCAGGCATCCGCTCAAATGAAGGATGCCGTTCTCGAAAAACAGGATAAAGGTGTTAAACGAGTTCATTCTGAGGTTCTTGCCGAGGAAGTGCGAAATTCGCGTGGTCTCTACGAAGATGAAGAGATAGGAGCAGCACTGCCAACATTCGACTCTGTGCGAGCCTCTTTGTATCGGGCTCGCGCAAAGCTCACACCGGCTTTACCTCAGAGTCGAACGGACATTGTCGTTGAGGGCTTGTACGGGAAAACTTTGAGCGACGAAGATTTCCTCTTGTTCGACGACGGCCTCGAGGACAAAATCCTGGCGTTCGGCACCGACGAAATGTTTAGTATCTTGTGCGAATCGCCACTGTTTCATGGACGGAACGTTCAAGTAGTTCCCCACCTCTTCTTACAGTTGTACACCATTCATTCTTTCCACAAGGGTCAGATGTTTCCGCTCGTATTCTTCCTTCTCCCAGACAAGACCAAGGAGACTTATCGTAGGATGTTTAGTCTGTTGAAGAATCATGCCGATGCGAAGGGCATGGTGTTTGCCCCTCGCACATTCCAGCTAGACTATGAAGTGGCAACCCTGAGAGCCATACAACTCGAATTCCCGCTGTCGGAGATCAAAGGCTGTAATTTTCATTTTAGTCAGAGTCTCTGGAGAAAAGTTCAGCATCTTGGTCTCGTCTCTCACTACAACGATCCGTCGGTCAAGAAACTCATCCGGTCCTGTTTTGCCCTCAGCTTGGTACCGTTGGACAGAATTGACGACGCTTGGCTAGGAATCGACGCAGAGTCTCCGGCCGCGGATCATCCAGCGTATGAACGAGTAGGAGTTTTCAAGGAGTATGTAATCAATACTTGGTTGGAAAATGGGTCGGTGTTTCCACGTAGTTTGTGGAATCACTACCGCAACTTCGGTGCTCGGACAACCAATCACGTCGAAGCGTGGCATAGCGCGTTGAGTCGAACGATCAGGAAAGAACATGTAAACCTGTTCCAACTGATCAACTTCCTAGAAAAAACAGGAAGATAAAGGGAGAGCGGACAGACTGTTAGCTCCAGGCAGGACAAGCCCCACGAGGCTCTCCTCGAAGTACAAGAGTCTCAACGACCGCCTTATCGACTGACGGACGAATTCGAATCCGGCGCGAAGAGTTTGATGGAATATGTTCACTGCGTCGGATTCAACTTGAAGACTTGAGAATTGTGATCGTGAGCTTTAATTTAAGATCTCTGTCGTATCATAATCAGAGGATGAAATGTAATAATGCAGATTTCAGAGAAATATTTGTGCGAGAAATGAAGTCATACCTAGTCCAATATCGTTAACTCCAAGTCCATTCCTTCGAATGCGGGGCAGCACCGGCTTATGAGAATTCTGGCTTATGAGAATTCCGGCTTTTGAGAATTCCGGCTTATGAGAATTCTGGCTTTTGCGATTCTGGCTCCGGCGATTCTGGCTTCTTCGATTCTGGCTTTTGCGATTCTGGCTTCCGAGATAGTACCGAACAACCAGGACCTAGTGGGGAAGGTAGAGGCCGAGGACGAGCGGACCATAGAGACGGCAAAAAGTCTCGTTTTTAGCGAATCCGAGAGCCCACTACGCCCATCCGACCCGACGGTGGCGAAAAGAAATAATAAATTTCTGAAACCGGACAGGTCGACAAAGCTGAATATCGGTGTCTTAAATATCAATGGCACGAGATACAACAAGGCGAAATGGGCGGCGCTTGAGAGAGACGTACTGATAGATAAGAAAATTAATGTTATGCTCCTATCAGAGACACGACTCATGAACGACGAACAATGTCCACATATTGAAGGATACCAATTTAATAGCAGCAACCGGAGAGAGTTCGGCGGCAAATACCCGCACGGTGGAATTGGAATCCTGACCTCTACACATCTGGAGATAATCTGGACCGAGAAGGGAGATGACTGGATAGCTCAAGCGTTTACAGTGGGCAAACAAAGTTGGATAACCATATCCTTCTACATAGCACATGCACTTAGAGACACGAACAAAATGACGTACGACTCTATAAAAAATTTTATTCATGACAGATGCAGCGATATGGACTGCATAATCATGGGAGGCGATGCGAACGCACACATGGAAGAACTCGACGGAGAAAGCAACGCGAGAG